ACCCTCCACCTTACTAAACATGATATCCTTCTCCAGGATATCCTTCTCCAGGACAATATGTCCGAAGCATGAGAGACAAAGTTTGGCCATCTTGGCCTCCAAGGAATGCAACAGCATTCCTCTTCAATTTGTCATTCCCGGCATAGTAAGCCATGTGGTCATCAGATTCAAAATGGCCAATACCAGTCCATGTCAGCTTACCAATGCCTAAGATATCAATGTTTATGTGTTCCATTTCATTTTGACAACTTCCAATTTTCCCAGATTCATGCTTTGTACATTCCATGCTCCAATTTTCAATGGATGTTTGCAGCTGTTTCTCTTCATTTTGAGTTGTGTCCCATCAGCAAATGAAGGTTCCACAGGCTTTTCTCCCATGGACTTTTCTCCCACTGGCTTTACTCCATTCACATCATCATGGTCAACTCTACTTTGAGGAGCATGTCTTCCCCAGTTTCATTTTGAGTGCCTTCCAACCTGAGGGGCTTATTTTCCAGCACTATATCTGGCATTGTTTCTCTGCTATTCATAAGGTTTTCAGTGACTAAATATTCGGAAGTAGTTTGTCACTCCTTCTTCCTAGTCTATCTTTGTCTGGAAGCTCATCTGAAACCTATCCACCATGGGTGACCCTGCTGCTATTTAAAATATCAGTGGCATATCTTTCAGAATCACAGCAACTTACAAACCACCACAGTACGACAAACTGATAGATGAGCGGTGGCCCATTTGAACCTCACAATAAAAACTTCAAAAAAAAAAAGTAAGTGTTCAATAGTAGGTAGTTATCAATCTATTAAAAGGTCTACTAGCATTTATACCACAATGAGGTATGTGGACTTTGCTAGAAATTGCTGATGAAGTTGGTAAATCTTCAAGTAATGGTAGTTATCAAGACACTAAGTATTTTTGTTGTTAAATGATGTCGAGTTGGTTCCAACTCATAGCAACCCTGTATAGTGTTTTGGAGACTTTACATTTTGGAGGAGTAGAAAGCTTTATTTTCTCCTGCATAGTGGCTGGCGGGCTCGAACCACCGACCTTTTGGTTTGGAGTCCAGTGCTTATCATATGGAAACACCATGCTCTCCTCTCTAAGTACTAGTAGCATTTATTTTGTCTATCAGGATCCGTGGTAGCGTAGCAGTAAACTGCTTAGGTCAGTGGTTTGAACCACCAGTCACTCCACAGGAGAAAGATGTGTCAGTTTGCATCTATAAAAATATAAAAATAGAAACCCCGTGGGACAATTCTACTCTGTCGTATAGGGTCTCTGTAAATCAGAATGTACTGTATGGCAATGGGTTGTTGGTTTGTTTGCTTGTTTTTTAAATCTATAGGTATCCAAGTCTTACCTTCATTAGATATGTGGTCTTAGATTAAATATGTGAAGATATAATAGACACAAAACTGTTTGAGAAGGAAACAAAGCATATATTATTTGCATTATTGCTGTGCAGCTTAGTCACAGTTTCCCTACCTCCTCTCCCAAGTCTCAGTGAGAAAAATTTTAGTCTCCAAGCGGAAACCTCAGAAGGATGCCCAGTTCACTAGCTCTAGAGGCCAAGTCTAAAATGTCTTGGGGGCAAGAAACTTTCTAGCAGTGTTTTTCATCCAACCCAGGGGTGCTATGCTACAAGGAATCTTCTGGGCTTTGCAAGGATTGGAAATCTACTCACCATCCCCCCGATTCCAGTACTGAGAGGACCCATGGGTCTGTCAGCTGGAATTCCTTCCCTCCAGAGCTGCTCTGCATTCAGCACACTTAAGAGACACACAGATCTCCCCTGTAGGGCATCTGGGTTAAGGAGATGATGAACTGATTTATGCTGTACTGCAGTGAGGCCAAGAGAAAAACAGGCTGATGTTGCCACTGGAGTGAAAGAGATTTCTGAAACAGAAGAACATCTGAGGATGCTGATCATTTCTAATTGGGACTGAGAGGTGGGCTGTCATCCCTCAGCATCTCCAAGAATAGACAAAAAAGCCCACCGTAGTCTTTGCCCATACAATGAGGGAAGAGGGGAAGAGATCCTGTGCTTACTGAACAGGAGTGGGGTCTCCAGCACACATTCATCACCATTTCCAGACTTGTGCGGGTCCTACTCAGGAGCACCAGTCACCCAGAATATTTCCTTAGATTCTCTGATGAGTCCCCTGATAAGGTGTTCTCTCTCTCCTTTTCTATAATAAAGCAGAGTCTGGAAAGAGGAAGGAAAGATTGGCAGGTGGAGAAAGGAGTGTAGATATGCATACGGAATTTTTCTAGTGTAAGGACTTGACCCGTATCTTCATATGTGTCTTTTCAAGAACCAGTAGAGTGTAAGAGTTAAGAACCTGGCAGCCTTAGCAGCCAGAGACCCAGGTTTTAGTCCAAGTCCTGCTACTTATTAGCTTGGTTGAAGGTGGAACCGAATTTTGTATTAAGGCAGAGAGAACCAGCATGGGAAGGGGACTCCAAAAGTAGACTGATGATTCATTTCCATCATAACCTAGCTAGGTGGACTCTTGAGCATCTTTCCTCCCCAAAAATGACATAACTATGAGTTATTCTCCATCCTAGGCTCTCTAAACCCTAAACAAGTGCCATCCTTGTGTTATTCTGTAAAGAGATATAGATACTTAGATACTGTGGATAGATATAAAAAGAGAGACAGCTTCTAGCCCCAGCCTGACTGGAGAAACAATATATGAGGTAGTTTCAAAAGTTTGGAGAAAACTTCCAGAATCTTTTAATTCCATTTTTCACAAATTATTTGAACACACACCCCCCGCCCCCACCAATACATAAACTAGACTAGACCAATGAGATTAGGAGAACAGAATGGAGGAGGAAAATCTGAGTTGGGCCTTGATGGTTGATGGCATGTGGAACAGCCGAAAGGATTATGCAAGGCAGAGGAATGAATAGAGCAAATGGTGGCAGGAATTGCATGCCATATATGGTGCGTACTGAGAACGCCAGCTTGCTCTGAAGATCTGTGGCTGGGAGCCTTCCAACTGCTGAAACTTGCATGCTTGGGTGGTTGCGCTGTTAGAATTATGGCTTGCAAGTCTCACTGAGGTAGTGGTGAATCACATAGACGCTAAAACTGGTTAGAACCAAATTAGGAAATGTCTTGAATTCTAGTATAAGGAGACATAGAAAGGATGTGATAGATGGCACTGTATCTGCAGATGGGTAGACCAGGAAAAGAGTCCAGTTGGAGACTATTGTAAAAGTTCAGGACTGTTGCAAAAGTCCAGAGGTATAGACTGTTGAAAAGGAAGATGTGAGCACCAGACATCTTCAGCCCTCATCCTCTTGGCTTCAGGGTTTGCCATACACTGGGAAGTCCTTATCTCATAATGTCCAAGACTCTGAGCTACCTAGCATAAATATTCCTAATCTGGCAGATCTTTCTTCTTCATTCAATTATTGATATTTCTTAAACACCAACACACAAAAATTTTGCGTCCATACAGCCTCAAGTACTTTTTCCATCTTCCAGAATTCTACCAGCATCTTGTTACAACCAGTCCTCACAATCATGTTTTCAGCCCTGTTCTCTGGAACACTTGAGATGTTAATGAACTTTTCTTTCCTCTCTGTACTTCTTCTTTCACCAATCTTCCAATTATCTAAATTTCTACCATTTATTGACAATGTCCCATGGTCCAGTTATATTTTTTGCAATCTGCACTGTGAGAAGATATCACCTCCATGTTTTCAGTTCCATTAAAAAAATGGGACTTCGAAGGCTAACTTGGGAGTAAGTAAAAGAGGCTACCAGACACAGCACCTCTGGCTCCAAGATCTATGCTCTCCTTTGCTCCTGCCTCATTTCTCCATCTGCTGAGAAGGTATTTTCATCCACTACAATCCTGCTCAACAGACTGCTCAGCAAAATCCTCCCCCTGGTGCTCCCAGCAAGCATACAACTGCAGATTTCCAGTCTGTTTTCCTGGAGTTGGAAGGGTTGGAAGGGCTTTGAGGAAATCATCAAATCCAACAGCCTTATTATAAAAATGGGATTTCAAAGTTCAAAGAAGAGTAAGAAGCTACCTAAGATCACACAGCAAATAGGGGATGTAGCCAGAACTAGATGCAGTTTTTCTGATTTCCAGATTTGTTCCACTTATACCGAATTCTTTTCTTTGTTTAGGGTTTATATCTTGCAAAACATTTTGACACAGAATAACTCCTGTGCTGTTGGCCATAACCCTGTGATGTAGATGTGTCATCTCTATTTAACGAACAGGGAAACCAAGGCCAATGGAGGTGAAGGAACTTGTCCACACAGTTTGGTAAGTGACAAGTTCACACAGTTTGGTAAGTGACAATCACGGGGCACTCTGGAAGAGCTGAAATATAAAGGTAGTGGTGGGTGGTAATTGTAAGGATTCAACAGACACCCCCCAATATCCCAGTCCAGGAAACAAAGTTCAGGCCTTAGGGAACTAGGAATAGCAAGTCAAGAATTAGGGTCTCTCTGTTGCCCAACACAATGAGCTTTCTCTTCTCTGCTTCCCAGCATGTCTACTTTTTTTATCATATGTACAAGGTTTCCACTTTTATTCTCTTTTATTCAACCCACATGTGACTTGGGCTTAGTGTCACACCACCTCTGTGCTGACGGGTACAGACTTTCAATATCATAATTTTAAATCCTCAGGACAGACCTCCAAATTAGCATAAGTGTGCAGTTCTGGTCGAATTTAGCTGTGATCAGAGTCTCTTGCTACAAACATAGCTACCTAATACCTTCCCTCTTATTGTCTTTGGGCAGTCAAGAATCCCATGTTTTATTACAGGTATGAATCCAGACCTTCTGACTTGTTTATTGTCCAGTTCTAGAGCTGTCTTAGCTCTCTTTTTCTTTTCATCCAACCCAATAAAAGTTTGACCAAATTCATGCAAGATACTGGATTTGTGGCTCAGCTTCTGACTGTCAACTCTATCCTCCTTCCACCAAGGCCAAGAACAGACTAGGAATGTATTTCTTTAATGGTCAGGCTACCATGCAAAGCTTTGGCAAGAAGAACCATAGTGATGTGTCTGAGTTCATTCTCCTGGGCTTCTCTAGTGCATCACGAGTCAGAATAGCCCTATTCACATTTTTCTGTCTCCTCTACCTTACCACCCTTCTGGGCAACGGACTCATCATCACCCTGATTTACTTGGACTCACGTCTCCACACGCCCATGTACTTCTTTCTCAGTATCCTCTCCATAGTGGACATAAGCTATGTCACCACCACTGTGCCCCAGATGTTGGTTAATATGTTATATCCAAGAAGAACCATCTCCTGGGGAGCTTGTGTAGCCCAGATGTTCATCTTCTTAGTACTGGGCATTGCTGAGTGTGTCCTCTATGCCATTATGGCCTATGACCGGTATGTGGCTATTTGTTTTCCTCTTCACTATACCCTACACATGAGCCATGCCACTTGTATCAAGATGGTCATAGTCTGTTGGTCAATCAGCATAACTGGGGCCTTAATCTACACTGTCTTTACTATGCACCTGCCTTATTGTGGCCCCTACAAGATAAACCACTTCTTCTGTGAGGTCCCTGCTGTCTTGAAGTTGGCCTGTGCAGACACTTCCTTCAATGATCATTTGGACTTTATCTTGGGTTTCATCCTGCTTCTGGTACCACTGTCCCTCATCCTGGCCTCTTATGTCCGTATCTTTGCCTCCCTATTAAAAATTCGCTCATCCCAGGGCCGGCTCAAATCCTTCTCCACATGTGCTTCCCACATCACTGTGGTCATCATGTTCTATGGGCCAGCCATGATGATGTACATGAGACCTGGATCCTGGTATGACCCAGAGCGGGACAAGAAGCTGGCCCTGTTCTACAATGTTGTCTCTGCCTTCCTCAACCCCATCATCTACAGCCTCAGGAACAAGGATGTCAAGGGAGCCTTTTTAAAAGTACTTGGAGACAAGCGGGCAGCCAGTGACCCAAGATGTTTCAAAGTTGCCCAGAGACATGAACAGGACTAAATGGAGCTCATTTGTTACCAGACACCTCAAATTCTGACCAGCCTGAGTCTTCCTAACTGAGGGTCTCCCCATTGCCTGAAAAGTTATCAGCTGCCACCACACAAAGCTCAGTTCAGTATTGAAGGCAAAGGATTTCTTCTTCAGAAGCTATGTCCTTGTGGTTCATGGCCATTGCCTTTGTGCTTTTCTTAGGTTTTCCTTTATCTTTGGACGTTACGTCAGCATGATCACAGCCAAATGTTTAACGTGCATGCATTCTACTCTGCAATGTAAATAAATTTAGGGTGAAACGTAAAGAATAGGCAGTTTATGCAGTAATATAGTCTTGCATGACTGTCTGACATGCACTTATAAGTAACATTTAAATCTGCTTTTTTGCATTAGGCTATAAAATCTGAGCTAGAATTATTTTAAACATATTATATAACAATATGGGAGTGTGGCGGCTCCATAGAATAAGCAATGGACTGTGAACCACAAGGTAGGTGGGTCAAGCCCACAAGCAACTCCATAGGAGAGAGATGAGGTTTTCTGCTCCTGCAAAGATTTAAAGCCTTGGAAAGCCTATACAGGGTTGCTATGAGTTAGGACTATACTATACCCTACACATGAGCCATCCCACTTGTATCAAGATGACCATAGTCTATTGGTCCATCAGTATAACTGGGACTCTACTCTTAACAACAGAGTCCAGGTATGGCACTGTAGAATAAACGCAGAACCTCAAGGTCAGTTTGAACCACAAGGTTGGCGGTTCAAATTCACCAGTTGTTCCTTGGAAACCCTATATAGGGTCACTATGAGTCAGAGCTGACTTGATAGCAATTAACAACAACAACAACAATCTTAACAACACCAACCACGGTATAACAATATGGCAAATAATTGATCTGGTCTGGGTTCAGCTTATGAGGTGGATTCTTGGTTTTACATTTTAAACTGCAACTTTATTTTAAGAAAAATAAACATTTTCAGAAGAAATATGTGCATGTATCATGTGTATAAGTATGCATGACTGTGTATATATCGTATGTGTATATATCTGTATATGTATCAGAGAAAGCTAAAAAGAGAGAGAAGTAATAGAAAAGAACAAAGATTCAATTCCACCCTCCCACCCTCACCAAATAAAAGCTTGCTAGTATTTTACCATAGTTGGTTTCAGTCTTTCTTTTTCCTTTCTTCTCTTAAAGGGTGAAATAATTACAGATGAAGTGTTCTCTCAGTTTATGAGGTTTTTTTCTTCATTGTAAAAGCAGTATATGTTTATTCTTAAAACTTTATAAAACATAGACAAACTAAAAGGAGAAAATGAAAGCATCCATGACTTTAGGAATAAAAATAACTACTGTTAACATTTCAGTGTTCGTGATTCAGGGTTTGCTTCTACTAACACTTTTGAAGAAATATATTACACATACAATTCTAAGACAATGATTTATTTTCATGATTTGGGGACTGAATTATCTGTGGTTTTTCTATAGCTTGATTTAATCTTTCAGCAACAGGTTTTGGATATTTATTCATGTTCATTCTTTTTCCCTGCTGAAGAGTATTCTTCTCACTTTCTTTTTTTCTTAGTGTTATATTGTGAATTGTGTGATTTATATGGGAGAACATTAGCTTTACATTCATCTTATCGTATATCGTTATTCACTGCCATGGTTACAATCCCCTCCATGCATCATCAACCAACCAAAGGGCATACCCTGCAAGCCTGCCCTCTGGTTGTCAGCACACAGCCCCTCTCCCTCTCTGGGTCTAAAGTCCCCAGCCGCTCCATCGCTCCACATCATCATCTCTGCCTCCATCTCAAGCACCACTTCTTCTCTGGGTAGGATCCTGCTCTCCGCTCTTCTCCCTTCATGGTCCCAGGGACCTCCA